ATCCCAAGTCGAGAAGATTGCCGTCAGCCTGATGGTCAGCCGATTCATAGATAAAGACCTGATGGAGACCGGGTCTCTGTGCAGCTCATATGCAGCAGCGGCGTATCATGTTGTTGCATGCAGGACCAGCAATGCAGATCCTAGTTAAGGCTTATACGTATGGCTCAGCTACAGCGTAAATTGCCAAGACACCTCAAATCATTACCGAGGAAATCTTGGCAAATACAGCGTACATCTAGCTAATCAGACAACAAATATAAAGATTATAATTGTAAAATCCAATCTAGCCCATGACCGATTTATTGATCTCTGGATATTCCCTGATCCCTCTTTCGCCTGTAGATTGACCCGAGATAATAATCCTCTACGTATTCTCGGAAATGATAGAAGTCCAGCTGCTGATTGCGCAGCCAAAGGATTCGAGGATATATTCCCTCCCGGAGATGCGACAACTGGCTTCAGATATCCGATTTGCTCCAATGCCTAGTCTGCATAGATCGTCTATATTTGGAAGCGCTTCAATAATTGATCTATAAAGGGAGATATAGCATTTGGCGCCTTTGGCAATGATATATGCAAGTCCATTAAACGGATGTCCAACCATCCGTATATGTCTGTGTGCCGCAAGCTAACCAAGCAGGTGCGCGAGCTTATTGCTGCAAGGCGTATCCTCTCAATTAGTTTCTCCATGAATTCAGATAGCTCATCTTCATACGTTATAGTATCTATCGTCATGAGTCTTCAGGCAAGTCAAATAAGGACGGGAGTACGGACGGAAAGGCGTAGGGCGGACGAGATTGCTGCATATGCGTTGCTGCAAAGCTTTATTCTCGGCTCCTCGCCAGCATTCATTGCTACGTTTTTTAAGGACTTGCAGGGGTCGGCTGCGCATATTCAATTTTTGCTTCGGACTCCTGCGTTTCTTGCAGACCCGATTACGCCCTATGCAGGAAGATATCCTGGCTGCGGATCGTGCGTCGTGAACCAAAGTTGTCTCGTGGATTATATTGAAGCACGATAGATTATCTGGGTTTTGATCTTCTCTAATTAGAAATCTATCTCTAATTGCGAATATTTTGTATATAGAATATATACAAATAATGCCTATCTATTAAAAAGTATGCCATAATAATTCATGAGATGAATATTGGCAATCTCATTTAGAGATATGAGATATGATATTATTCAACGGAAGAATTCAAGATCTTGTCGCGTATTTGCCTGATATAAATATCGTATCAGAGCGATTATTTTTTCCTATATTTCTATCTATCTCATAGATCTCGGATTTTCTGGAAATTATAATATCAGAGAGATATCTCAATGAATCCAATATTATCTCATTTCAATCTTGAGATCAATTGATCGGATATAAAGGGGAAGATAGAACATCAGACCAATTATTACATGAGATAGAGGATTCATCGACCCAAATCCTATATATATTATTCGTTGCGTCGTCCTATCCTTCTATTTGCAAGGAATATCCTATATTAAATTAAATTTAAAAAAAAAATATATATATATATAAATTAGATTTGAAATGAGAATTCCTTATAACGATCGCAGGAATCCTGGAGAATTCTCCCAAATTTGAAATCTTTTAGCATCCTATTCCATCCTCTCTATATCATCTTATATTTTCTTTTATAATCTATCTAGAATAGAATAAATGATGCGGATATGAGATTCCGATAAGAGATTTCTCTTATAAAGATATTAAGAAATCTGAGATATCCTTCCAAATCCAGCGTTTATCTCGATCCTATCTCATCTTCCTTATATTATCTCCCTAGAATGAAATTATAGAAAAAATGATCTTGATATGAAGATCCGATCAGAAATTTCTAATATGATGATCATAGGAATCTTGAGATATTCCTCTCAAATTAGATTCTTTTTCTGTTATTCATTAGAATATCAATATAGATCTTATTCTATCTGCTCTATATCGCCCCTAGATCTCTTTTTGGGATTTGCCTACAATGCCTAGATCTCATTGAGAAATCATAAAATTGATTCGGATATGAGATTCCAATATTAGATTTCCATTATAATGACTATAGGATTCCTACGAAATTCCCTATCAAAGGGGATTCGTTTTATGTCATTCGTTGAAAGATCAATATAGATCTTATTCCGTTCTCTCTATATTATCCTAGATCTCTTTTTGAGATTAAGAAATCATAAAAATGATCCGGATATAGAGATATCGCTGAAAGATTTTCCTTCTAGCAATCATAGGAATCTTGATATATCTCTCCAATCTTGGATCTCTTTCATCTCTTGATATATCCTCTATATTTCTCTTTATAGAATATCTAGAATCTATTCAGAAATCGTAAGATTATTCTAGATTACGGAATTTCTATAGCAGGCCTGGATCCGATCATGGCGGCAAATCTATTGCGAGATATTATCAGAATCTTCTTCTGATATTGGAGATCAGATTTTGTTATTAGATCTGCAGCTTTCTTGAGATCCGAAATATCGTGCGATTTGCGTCTAATAATTTTCAATTAATTATCTTCTGATATTTTCAGAGATTCTATATCAATATCTATCATCGAATTTCTATTTTTAATATGAAAGATCTTCAGCAACGCATTCCGGATCTAGATATCTGGGGATGATGAAAGCAGATGATAATAGATAATTGAATAATATGAAGATTCTATAGGAGATGCGGCGCCTTCCTGAAATATTCATTTATCGAATTATATATGCGGCAAAGATCAATCTATCGAATCAATCATAGAAATTTATAATGACGATTTCTAGATATTGATTTATTGATATCTCAGGATCTCTTCCAATCTGATGATTTATAAGATTTCGGATCTACGTCAAATATGGCTATAAATTCAGCGTATATTGCTCTGTCGTTAGTCTATATATATAAAAATAGAGGCGCTGTTATGTCAAGTGAAGAGAGAGCTGCAGAAGCAATGATCGTAGTAATTACGACGGCAAAATATCAAAATATCTGACGAGGAAATAGAAAGACGCCTCATCAAGGATATTATTCATCTTTATGAATCCTATATCCGGAATATGATGAATTTTGGGCTAATCTTCAGAGATTTATATTCCATATGCAGATTGCGTCTCAAGGATGGGAGGCCGCAATATGCGATTTAATCACGAATATGAATAATTTATATAAAAATTATAGCGCTTATATTTCTGGTTATCCTGTAGTCTCCAAATCATTGGAGTCCAGAGCGACGCGATGAGATGCGATTAGCAAGAGTTGGTGGAGATCTCATAAGAAGAGACCCTGTATATATGGATCAGGAAGCCGGAAGTCGTGTATTATGATAAGAACCGTGATAGCGAGCGAGCCGCCGGAATCTATTTAGGATAATATCAAGAAGAATCATGTTAGGGGCGGATTCCTGCCCATTTTTCTATTTATTTCTTATGCGTCCGTTACGGGTCCGATAAGGTCCTCTACGAGTACGAGAATTCGTATATAATAGTAATTATCGCTTGCGCGTCCCAAAAATCCGCAGGAATTTATATTGGATGAAGATTATAAATAGAATAGAAAATGAAAAATAAAAAAATTATCTAGGATTAATGGGGAATAATCAATAATGCGCCATTTAAATTTCAGGATTCAAGATTTCAAATCTATTCAGATTCTATATTGCTCAATTCGCTATCAAAATTATATCTATAACTATCTTTCTGAATATCGATAGAAAGTAATAGATATCTAATATCATAATCTATGCAATGCAATTAATATTCAGATTTTTTTCATATCTTTTTTATTTCCTATTATATCGAGAAGATAATGATGATCTCGGTCGTGAAATGAATTCGATCGTATTAAAATTCAGATTTTCTCTTCTAGAATAATTAGGTAAGATGAAATTATATTTTCTATTATCGATTTTCGAAAATTTCATCTTCTTACGCCGATATCCAATATTTTCAAATATTTCCCTTTCAATAATATTATATATTTTACGAATAAGAAATATATCCTAAAAATTCAATAATTTAGTATGCGAATCAATCCCCCCCATAATCAAATTCATATCTTTAAGAGAAAAACGAATAAATTGGTCATAGTAATTCTTAAATCTTCATATAATATGAATTCCTCCTTCTTTATGTTTTTATAAATATGGAAATATTTGCTAAATTCATCTCAAAATATAAATAAATTAACAACGCAGATTTTCTAATTTATTCATCAGATCATAATCTTAAAAATTAATCTTTCTATTTCAGAAAAAAAATAATATATGTTTTCTATAGATATATATATCAATAACGAAAATTCAAATCTATTGAATAACCTATTCATAATCGTATTAGAAATATCTCAATAATGAAGTGCGAACCTTTATAATCCTTTTATTCGCGTACGACCTAATTCTTCTAGTTCTCTTTTAAATTATCCGTTGCGGGTTCCGTAAACGCACAAAAATCTCATAAATTTTAGAGGCCTTCGGAAAAGCTGAAAAATTCGGAAATCTCCGAGATTTTTGATATAGGAGACGCGATCTCGACGATTTTCGATCGTATCATCTCTATTCGCAGAATGAGCTTCTAACTCATAGACCCGAGACAGAGACCTAAAATCTTTCAGAATTTCTAGGTTGGCCGTATCTGTGCGCAGGGATTTTTGCGCTACCCCGAGCTTTCATGCAAATCGCACCGGATACGACTCGGTGGAATGCGTAGACACGGGGCGGAGATGCAAAATCTTTCAGAGTCTAAAGTTGACCTTTTTTTGTGTCGCGTGCGGTGTTATATCTTGATCGTTCTGCGGGCTCTACGTGCGGTTTTATATGTTGATTCTTCATCGGGTTATGGGCACTCTCACACAAATATTTTCCGTTGCTATAGACAGCGGGTCAACTCTAGTTTGTTTAAATATTATATTGTAGCCTATATTCCCTTGCTCAGCAGGGAAGTGCAAATTCAAGCGAATATCTTGCCACGTTCCACGTATGACAATTTCTTTTCATGCATTGAAACCTCTATTCGGTGTATGCGAACAGGGAGAGAACCTCAGCAGTCAGCATCTGGCAGCATCACGACCAAACCCAAACCTCTGCAGCTTACGTGATGATCAACTCGATTCCATTCGGATTAGGCTCGGGACCCAAAGCATCTTGCTGGGAGGTCGAATCTCGTGCCACAGCCGCTTGGACTGAAAGATGAGGCAACGCCCCACTTCCGGAAATACATCCTCAGGGAATCTGATGGAATTATGCAAAGAAGACGGTGCTGCTAAGCTGCTTACACCTTGCACTCGAGTCGCCTTGAAGACTGCGCCGCCTTCTTCTGCACTTCCTGTCGAAGTCTGAGCAATGCAGCAAATGTCCATGGTCAACGGATGCCTTTGAACATCCAACATGTCCACAAGGCTCTGAACCAGCGGCTTCTATGCTACTCTTCATGCCTATCTGGTACCTTGCTCCAGGACCATGAAGCCTCACCATGCCCCACCCGAATCTACAATCCAGGCCGTCCCCCAGTCCTCAGGCCCACTTGATACTACTGATCCCGTTTGAATTGAGATTCCGCCTTGTTCTCTGCAGGAAGCTCTTGGCAGCTCCTAGCGGAGAAAGTCAACCGGAAACGAACTCGCGGAATCTACAGCAAGTTGCGTACAAGGCAGATTCAGCACACAATTCAACGCCACTGATGCTACGCCAGGAAGCTTCGTGTCACTGTTGCTGCGTGTGTGCTACGAGCTTCCTCTGCAGAGCCAGGTGGATGCGTGAGAACTTTGTCATCTCCATCCACATAGGCTCTGAAGGCGCCACCGTCCTGTCAACATGCCAGCTTGCAAACGATCATGGAAGCCACTCAGATGCAATCACAACATACTGGGAGAAACATCTGTAGCCATGGACAACATTGATCGTCACAGTAAAGAGCGGCGGCCGTCCTCCGCTGTCCACTGATGGGTCAGGAACAAGGAGAAGGTCAACTCGCGACCAGATGCGCTTCCACCAGCAAAGTCAAGGTGGACTGCTTCTTTGGCTCCTGCGTCCGCAGTCCCAGAGTCACAGCAAAAAATATACGGAGGCAGTCATGAAACTCTGATAGGTCTACCAGTTGGCTCCTGGTGGTATGCACGCAAGATGGGCCATGGTTGGCACTTTGAGTTTCATGCCGTACTTGTTGCGGGCAAACTCGTGAGGCAGGCCAAAAAGAATCCGAAGAGCATGCCTGCTCGAGTGACGAAAGGAACTTCTTTAAGCAGGTGCCAGGCATACCCCATGAATGTCAGCCACGGAGCTGAAACTCAGGCGACATACATCTCCGTGCAGGATATGGGACCCAACACTCGAAGATGCCCTCTGCCGTTGCCTCTGTGCACATAATGGGCACGGAGGTTGCACATGACTCACATGACCTATCTTGCGAGTATCCTACCTGGGCCGCACTCATGGCTCCGACATCACGTCGCTTCCAGAAGTTTGTTTCACACTCCTGCCGGCGTTTACCAACCCAGGGAATTCATTTAAGCTTGCGCTGACATGTAAAAAAATCTCTGCTGCATGCTTGCCTGAAGAGCCACTAGGCTTTTTAGTCTACAGATTGGCTGCTACTGCTTTGAAGGCTGCCTGATCATTCCGGAGCTGTGCATGTGCACCTTAGAATGTAAACCTGAACTCTTGGCAGCAGGACGGGAGCTTTGCAAAGATGTGAATCTGAAAGAATGCCAGGAAAGTTGCAATGACAAACACAGGTTCCCCATGACAACAGGTTTTCGCCTCGGATATCACCTGGGCAATCTCAGCGTCCAAAAGACCTTCAACGGTCACGAAGCCTTTGTCCACAACACGGAGCACCTTCGCTTTGGCAACCGCAGATCTTGCTTTTGAATGCAATTCAGGGACAATGCCAGCCCTTCACGCGCCCAAGCCAGCTACTGGATTGCTTCGCAGGAATGATTGAAACATGGTAGTTTCCCGAAATAGGGGCACCTCCAATATTGACCCCCGAATACTGTGATACTTATTCTGGGGACCCTCAAAAAGGTACCCCTAATTTCGGGAAACCCCCATATGTCACTACGGAACAATCAGAACCAATAGCTGAGCTGCACACGGCAGGCTCGAAGCCATCCAAATCACCATCTTGCAGAGCAAAGGCTTCCGTGGGGTTCTGCTGCAGAATTCCTTGCTAGTCTCGAAACAGGGTAAACTGCATGTGGAAATAGCTCAACTCAAGTCCATCAAAACCGTGCAGAGCCACCGTGTAACAAGTAACAGTCACAAATTCTACTGTAAGCAGTAAGGCAAGCGAGCTGACATAACACAGCAGCAATACTTACAACAGGTGTGAAGGAGCCTAGGGATTAGGATTCAAGTGTTAAACAGCAGCTTACACTCTTTCAGTCTCGCCGTCCGAGCCATCCCGTCCTGCTCGAAAATGATTGTTGGCTAAATCCAGCCTCAGCCAAACGTTTTTGCGTCAATCGTCTTTTCAATTGTCTTTTGGGCCAGTTGCCGCTTTTTTCTGTGGGGCTTTAAGGTGGTGACATGAACTTGTGCAATTCGGAAACATTGCTTCAATACAGTAACCTCAGCAGGGAGGACTGCCACCTACAGGGATATTTAGGACTACTGCTGATTATGATGGTAACGAAGACAAGCCTGTACCCTCCACTACTTTTGTACCTTTACCACCGTCTAACAATTCTACCATGTGAATCCTTGCAGTATCAATAGTGTAAAAGGTCGACTGGATGGTTGAATCACAACCAGCAAACCAACTGCGCAAACGCACCTTTTCACTCTGAATGTTGTAACTCGTAGCTCAGCTCAGCATTGACAGAATGTCCAGAATTTATGGCAAGGCAAAATACCTCCATAATCCTTTCAGCCTCTAAGGGGAACCTTGAGCCAAAGCATTGGAACATTCC